GCCGCGACCGGATGCTGCAGCTCCACCAGCGCCACGGCGTCGACAACGTGATGGTGCTGGACCATCATGTATCCGCCCAGCGCAGCATCGGCGACCTGCCCAACTGCTATTTCGACATGGCCCGTTCCGGCGCCGTCATCACCTGGGAACACTTCCATCCCAACCAACCCACGCCGGCGCTCCTGCGCTACGTCCAGGACTGCGACCCGTGGCGCTGGGAGCTGGACCGGAGCCGAGCCGTATTCGCATACCTCGCTTCAGTGGAGTACGACTTCGACCAGTGGGACCGGACTGCTCTCGAAATGGCGGCCGACCCGGATGTCATTTTCCAGGGTCGGGAGTGTTGAGAAAGTCGCCTCAGTTGCAGCGGCGCTATCGGAGAGCGGGAGTTGGACCTTTGACGAACCAACTCAGCCAGGAGAAATGCCGGAATAGTGAGAGGAAATACAGTACTGAAGCGGCCACGGAATACCCTTCATCCGTGGCATTGGCGACATCGGGCGACGCTGAGCCAGGAGGTTCGGTACCCGTAGCCCAGCTTGCGCACCATCTTCAGCACATTGTGGGCCAGCGCGGCCAGGTACCCCTCGCAGTCCACCTTCCACAATCCTCGCAGCCGAGATTTCTCCCATCCCAGCCGATCCAGCGATGCGAAGGCCCCTTCCGCGATGGTCTGACGCCGTCGCCGTTCACGCCGGTAGGCGGCAGTCCGGTTCCGCTCCCTGGCCCTCAGGTAGAGAGGGTGATACATCGTCAAACTGAAGTACCGCCGTTTTTGCCGCCGCGGCAGGCAGGCGTCCTTGATGGGACAGGCCTGACAGTCCCGAGTTCGCGCTACGTACTGATAGGTGCCAGTCCGTCGCTGGAAAGCGCTCCTACGCAGAACCTTTCCCTGAGGGCAGATCAGATGGTCGCCGTGATAGCCGAAGTCGCCCTTGGACACCATGCTGTTTTCCTGCTTGGTGTGGATCGGGATGTAGGCCGTAATATCCCGTTCTTCCAGCAGTTCTCGGAGTGAACCCTCGCTGTATCCGGTGTCCCCAGCCAACGACACCGGCCGCAAAGGGAGCCGTTCCAGCAAATCAGGAACTGCTTTCGACTCACGTTCGGAGGCGTGGGTGACGCCTCTGGCAACGATGAACCCGCCCAGGTCAACGATGACGTTCTCTTGGTACTGCAATCCGGAAGCTTTGCCAGGTCTGGTGGTGCGCCAACGGGCGTCGGTATCCACGGGCTTCAGGGGCATCCTGCCTTCGGGGCTCTGGAAGTACCGCATCTCTTCGTGCTCAACACCGTCGCCGTCAACGGTCGTCTCCTCAATCACGAACAGACCGTTGATCTCGATGGCCTGTTCCTGGAATTCATCCACAGTGAATTCCTCCACAGTGAACTCCGCGACGGTCATCCCACTGGGAGCCAGCCCATAGCCGCTCACGTTGGCCTTGACCAGGCTGGAGTCCACGTACATCTCCGGCGACAACCAGCCCATCCGCAACAGCTCGTCGTTCAATCCGTCAAAGATGGCCGCGAAGCCGTCGCGGCCGATCCGGTCGGTGAAGCGGCTGATGCTCGAATGGTCGAACACCGGATCGTCGATGGTCAGAAAACAAAACCAGCGGTAGGCAATATTTTCTGAAATAGCCGAGCACAGCCTGCGGAAGGACGCGATGTTGTACAGCGAACAGATCAGCAGTGCTCTGACCATCACTTCAGGATGAATGGCCGGCCGGCCGAAGTCGGGACAGTAGCACTCTTCCAGAGGTTCCACCAACTTGGCGAAGTTCAGTTGTTCGTCGATCCGGATCAGCAGGTGATGGGGGTCGATGAAATCCCGCAACCGTTCGCTGGTGAATTGGAAAAGGGTTGAATCTCTGCTGATGCGGTCCAATGGTTAGAGCATATCCGTCCTCTCCCAACTGGCTCTGCCCGCCATTGTGATTTGCCCGGCTTCCCGCTGGGAGTCCTACTTTTTCAACACTCCCGCTCGCGGAAATTGACCCGCTGCCTTCCCTTTTCCAGCCCAAATGCAACGTTGTGCGCCACGCTGAGATGTGAAACCAACGCTCCCTCCTGGAACTCCATACCCACCCGGCGCTTCTCGGGAGCCTCGTTGACGCCCGGGCCGGCCACCAGCCGGTTTTCGATGTGGATGGTACCTGCGTCCCGCGCATCGAACCCGGCTATCAGATCGAACCCGGCTATCAGATCGAACCCGGCTATCAGATCTAACCCGGCTATCAGGCGGAGCGTGGTGGTCTTGCCGCATCCGCTTGAGCGCAGCAGGCAGACGATCTCGCCCGGCGCCCGGCTCAGATGCAGATTGGAGACTGCCTTGACGTCACGGAACGACTTGAATAACCCCGACAACATCAGGACATAGTGCCCTGAAACGAGATTGTTCACGGCCGATTGCCGGCAACAGTCAGATGGTTCAAATCGCATACAATGCAGATACTGGCAATATATTTTAATGCCGACGTAAACCAACAAGCAGTCTATCGACGTATCATCGGTCTATTAGCACGATATTGTGTTGGCGTGCAGCCGATGGATAGCGCTCGGGACAGCTTGTGGCGTCGTGGCGGTTGCCTGCTGTGGATGGTGGATCATCCGGGTTAGTTTGTTCCGTTGGCAAGCCCGTTTGAGTTTATGGCCAAACCGGCGCCGAGGATTGGTGTAACGGTACGCGAATACGCGGGTTATCCAGAAGCGGCTTATAAGCCCGTAATCAATCCATGCCAGGGGCTACTTCGAGTTGCGCTAGGCCAACCACGCCGTGACTTCGTCGGCTGGAGTGCGGATGGATGTGGAAGGACGCGTCGGCTGTCCGATGAACAGGGCCCCCAACAACCAGGGGCGGGTGCGCCCCTGGGTAGCTCAATTGACCCTCTGAACGCTGACCAGCGCCAACGGTTACCACCGGCAGCCTCTGGCGTCGGGTCGGAGGTATGTCACCACGCACGATGTCGTTTCGTTAACAAATGCTAACCAGCAATTGGGCCATTTTGCTCGATCATGAATATTGACAAATTTTAATAATGACGGTACAAAGAATTTTATGATACCATCTCACGATCAGACAGTTCGTGTAGACTGCTTTTTAAGTTTAGAGCATCCTGCCCGGCACTGTCCAATGGAGGCAGGTTATGACTTGCGCAAAGCACATAGGATCCTTCATGATGCCCGTATTGGTCACCCTTGGGCTGTTCGTGTTCGTAGCCATCGGATGCAGTCCGGCGGCGCCAACTCAACAACCGCCAGTTGCAGAGGCGGCGCCCGGCATCGATACGGAAGCCTTGCGTACACTCGTTCAGGAAGCGGTGGAATCGGCTGCTGCTGAGAGTACTGACCCAGAAGAAATCAGAAGCATGGTTGAAGAGGCGGTGGCGGCAAGCTCAACCCCCGGCGTTACCGCTGAAGAAATGCAGTCCTCCGTAGAGAGAGCTGTGTCAGAAGCGCTGGCAGCCCAAGAAGCGGAGCGTTCTGCTGCAATGCAAACCGAGGCGAAGCCCACCTCGATCATTCTTACGGACATCGCTGGGCGGACGGTGACCATCGACATGCCGGTTGAACGCATCATTTTGGGTGAGGCTAGGCAGATATATATTGCCGCCTCCCTGCAGCCCGGCAATCCCTTCAACAAAATCGTAGGCTGGCGCAGTGACCTCCGGCAGTTCGACGCCGACACGTACAACAAGTACATGGAAATCTACCCGGAAGTAGGGGACATTCCCGAATTTGGAAGCCCCTACAGCGGTGATTTCAGCGTGGAAAAAGCCATTGCCCTAGACACCGACGTGGTGACGTTGAACCTGGGCGGCTTGGAACGGGCTAAGGAAGCCGGCATGATCGATCAACTGGCCGCGGTGGGGATCCCGGTCGTCGTAATCGATTATCGCCAGTTTCCACTGGAAAACACCGTCCCCAGCACCATACTGTTGGGACGCCTGTTTGACCAGGAAGAGCGGGCGCAGGAAATTGTCGACTTCTATCTTCAGCAGGTCAACAAGGTATATTCCGTCGTAGATGGGATTGAGAAAGAAAAGCCCGTGGTCTTGGTGGATACAGCTGCAGGAATTCAGAGCGCAGCAGAATGCTGTCGGACCTACGGCAGGGGCAACCTGGGGTTGATGGTTGAGCGTGCCGGGGGTATCAACATCGGATCCGGTCTGCTTCCGGGTTGGTCCGGGTCTCTGAACGCCGAGCAGGTATTTGTGTCAGATCCCGACGTCATTATTGCCACCGGGTCGAATTGGTTTACCTACAACCCGGAAGGCGACTTCGTCAGCATGGGCTATTTCACCGATCCCGAGGACGCGCGGATGAGGCTGAAGGCGCTAGGGGAGAAGCGTCCGGGATGGACGGAACTCCGAGCGTTGAAGGAGGGCAGACACCACGTGGTATGGCACCAGTTCTACAACTCGCCGTACAACTTCGCGGTGCTCCAGCAATTCGCCAAATGGTTTTATCCAGAGGAGTTTGCGGACATGGACCCCGTAGCCAACTTCGCGGAGTTCCATGACCGGTTCTTACCCATCAGCTACAGCGGCACCTTTTTTGCGTCTGCTGCTGAGTAAAGCGGATTCTCCCACGTTTTCCACCAGGGTGTTGAGGCACCCAATTGCTGCTGCATCACTCGGCAGCGAGGGTGCCTCGCGGAACCCGAGGGATTAGCTGCAATCCGGACTGACGCACTGGAGCAAAGGGGATGCCCCTTCGTCGTAGCTACAGAATATCGGGGCATCCCTTTCCGGGTTAGTTGCTAACAATCCGCCAAGCGTGTTTAGCGAAAAAGGTGCGATATGAACGCAGACCAAGGGGCCGTGCAACCAGCCGGCGAGATAACCGCGACTAAGGGTAGGCGGATTTATCGCCAGATAACCGGGCGCAAGTATCTGATCATGGCGTGTCTCGCGGTCACGCTCGGTTGCACGCTGGTTTTGGATATATCCCTGGGACCCGCTCGCCTGGGTCTTTGGGAAGTCGTCTCTACGATTTTCATGCCCGGTTCTGCCGAACTGACCACCAGGGTAATCGTATGGGACATTAGGATGCCCATCGCCCTGATGGCAGTGTTGGTTGGAGCGGCTCTGTCCATCGCGGGGGCAGAGATGCAGACCATACTCAACAACCCACTGGCCAGCCCATTCACGCTGGGAATATCCGCGGCGGCGGGTTTCGGGGCGGCTCTGGCGCTGGTTTTGGGACTCAGCATCATCCCGTTCGCCGGGATTTTCCTGGTCTCCGCCAACGCCTTCGTGTTCGCGATGATCGCCTCGATGACCATCTTCGTGTTGAGCGGGTTGAGAGGAGTTACGACCGAGACGATGATCCTCCTGGGAATAGCCCTCGTGTTCCTGTTCAGCTCCCTGCTGGCTCTGATGCAGTACATAGCCTCCGAACAGGCCCTACAGCAGGTGGTTTTCTGGACCTTGGGCAGCCTGGTAAAGGCCACGTGGCCCAAGATCGGAATTGCCACCGTGGTACTGCTGGTCACCACGCCCCTGTTCGTCAAGCACGTATGGACTCTCACCGCTCTCAGGTTGGGCGATGACAAAGCCCACAGCCTGGGTATCAACGTGCGCAAGCTCCGGTTGCAAGTGCTCATATCTGTATCGATCTTGGCCGCTGCTGCCGTGGCTTTCGTGGGCACCATCGGATTTATCGGACTGGTAGGCCCTCACGTCGCCAGGATGCTGGTGGGCGAAGACCAGCGCTTCTTTCTTCCCATGTCGGCCATGTGCGGCGCGATCCTGCTCTCCGCAGCCTCGATCCTCAGCAAGATGATTACTCCGGGGGCCATTTTCCCCATTGGAATCATTACTTCGCTGGTTGGAGTGCCGTTCTTCCTCAGTCTGATTCTCGCCAAACGGAGGCAGCTCTGGTAATGATTTTGTCAGTCGATGAAGTTCGCTTCAGCTACGGGGCCGTCACAGTGCTGGATGGAATCACCATTGGCGAGCTCGACCCCGGGAAGATTACCGCTACCATCGGCCCGAACGCCGCCGGCAAGACGACCCTCTTCAAGTGCATCGCCGGCTTGCTTAAACCGGAAGGTTCGATTCGGTTGGGCGGAAAGGACCTCCGACAGCACAGCCGGGAGGAGATCACCAAGAAGGTTAGCTACCTGCCGCAGGAAAGCCCGGTCAATGCGGTGCTCACTGTCTTTGAAGCGGTGTTGCTGGCCAGGAAGCATACCCTGTCCTGGCGGGTCAGTGATGAGGATCTTCGAGCGTGCGCCCAGATCTTGGAAAACCTGGATATCGAAGATCTATCGACCCGTTTCCTCAACGAGTTGAGCGGCGGGCAGAAACAGATGGTATCCATAGCCCAGGCACTGGTGCGCGAGCCTGATGTCCTGCTCATGGATGAGCCTACCAGCAGCCTGGACCTCCAGCGGCAACTGGAGGTGCTGGACTTGATCCGTGAAGTCACTGCTGGTCGGGGAATAATCACGCTTATCTCTCTGCATGACCTGAACCTGGCGGCCAGGTATGCTGCCTATTTCGTGGTAATGGACAAAGGCACTGTCTATGCGTCGGGGGAGGGTCACCAGGTACTGACGCCCGAGATGCTCCGGGATGTATACGGGGTAAACGCAACCGTCCTGACCAGCCCTGACGGCATCCTCCAGGTCACTCCGCTAGGATCAGTGCGCAAGCGAGGACCTCGCGTAGACGCTTTGGTCTGATGGGGTCTGATGCCCTTCGTTGACCGCCCAAACGTGCCGTTGAAGCCCAGCGTATATTCCCCTGCCCGTCAACACAATTGCCGCAGCGTCACTGTTTTGGTCGAAGAAGGACTCAGGACGCGTGAGAGGAGACCAACTATGCGCCTCACCGTCAGCGTGGCATCCCTGGTGACTTTGGCTTTGTTGACGGCGTGTGGGGGCGGTTCCGTGGTTGAGCCGCAGCCTCAGGCGCCTATTGCGGTAGGGCCATCGGCAACGGAAAGCCCTGCCGAGTCGCCTTCTTTCGCGACCCGTGCCCTGAAGATCCCTCGTGCCACGGCCATGCAGACCCCTAGTCCAGTTGTCGCCACCCCCACTTCGTCTCCTAGCCCAACGCCAACCCTTGCGCCGACCGCTGTCCCAGCCACCTCGACTCCCGAACCGGAACCCACCGAGAGCCAACCCGACCCTTCCCCTGCTCCAACGCTTGACGTCGCTCAGCTGACTGCGCGCGGCGAGAGATTGGTGGAGCGGAACAACTGCCTGGGATGCCACTCCGTCAGCGGACAAACGCATTCTGCCCTTACGTTCAAGGGGCTGTTCGGCTCTACCCGTCAGCTCGTGGGAGGATCGACAGTAACGGCTAACGAAGAATACCTGCGAGAGTCCATCAAGCTGCCTAACGAGAAGATAGTCGAGGGTTACTCCATCGGCGCCATGCCCAAGGTGTTTTTCAATGACGCAGAGATACGGGCGATGGTGAAGTACATTTCGTCTCTGGATTAGGGCCTCTGGGTGAACCAGGGCATATGATCCGTTCCAGGCAAAGCTGCCCGAGGTGGGCATTGTGCGCTCCGATTTTTAGGCCCAATCCACCGAACAGATGAGTGTGGCGGTGCAATGACCGCTGGATGCCCGCCGCCGCCGACTGGTCGCACCCCGACCGGCCCGATTCTTCCTTCCGCTACGACAAGACGGTCGTGGCCCACGCGCCGGACAGCCACGCCGTCTATCCGTCGGTGATCGCGATATCGGGCAGTTCACCCTACGACGAGGGGCGACAGCTGGCGGAGCTGTTCCGGTTTCTCAAAAGTTCCGGCGCCATCGCCGATTACGGCCAGGTGGCGCTGCTGCTCCACAGCGTGAAGGACCCGGTGGCCGGTCCGTATCTGGACGCCCTAGAGGACGCGGGCGTTCCGGTGCGCCACGTGGCCGCCGGCTCGGGCGCTGACGTAGGCGCCGCCGGTTCCTTTGACCAGGCGCTGGTCACCACCATTCACCAGGCCAAAGGACGCGAGTGGCCCGTGGTAGCGGTGGCTGGATTGGACCACCCGGGCCGGCACGACGATCCGGTAGGGGCTCACCTGGCCCGCTACCATCGGCGCGACCCGTTTGAGCCAGCCGATAGAATAGCGGCCTTTGACCGGGCGCGCGTTTATTACGTCGCCTTCTCCAGGCCCAGCGGGCTGCTGGCGCTGTCCGCAACCGGTGGTCCCCACCGGAGCTTCGATGCCATCTGGGACGGGCTGCCCCGCTGGCCGGACATCGATTGTGCTGGCCTCGGCCGCCAGCGGTTCACCGAGGGTCATCCCGCCGGCGCGGGAACGCGGGCGCCGGTCTTCGTGCCGGACCTGGTGATTCACATGGACCGCATGGAAAGCCTGACCGTGCGGATGATGTGACGTTGGCATTGGCAGCCGGAGAGAGGTCGCCGGCGGCAGGCGTTTTCGAGGCCTCGCTCTGCAATGTCTGGAGAGACAGTGGTGTTCAGCCGGCGGTCGCCGGGATGGTCGCGATTGTCGCCGGGACTGTCGTGCTACCAATTCGCTAATTGTCGCCCATCACGGGTTGTACCCCAGCTAAGACCTTTGCCGTTGCATCGAAAACGGCCAAATGGATTTGCTGACAGTGGGCATCGTCCCTTGGTGATTTGCAGAGGTTTTGCGCAGGAAAAGCAAAACAAAACGGGGTGTCCACATTGCCTATTATATTTCAATCAAGTCGCCGCCTGAATCACGTGCAACCGTGCCGACTGAACCGTTTTAGTCGGATACGTCATGCGCAATTTTTGTGGGTCGACCAAGGAGCAATTGAACTGCAAAGCGAACACCATGGAGATTCATATGACAGAACGGATCGCATACACTGTCAAAGAAGCGGCGGCGGCGCTCGGGGTGAGCGAGTGGATGGTCAGAGAAGAGCTTAGTCGCAAAACTCTATTCTCAGTCAAGATGGGTGCCAGGCTGCTCATCCCGCGATGGGCGCTTGAAGAACGACTCGGGATACCAAGCTTTCAGGGGGAACCGTCCCACACCGATTCTTGAGCCTGCATTGGGAGGTTGATCCCGGGCCCCAAGATGAATTGCCAGACCAGGACTATCTACCAATAAACAGCGGGACACGCACAGGTACCGAAAGGGTTACTCGACGATATCCGACCTGTACTGCAACGCAATCGATTCAATTTAACTCCGGACTTCCGTCAAAGCCGGAGGTTATTGGACGCACGATGAACGCGGGTTCGCGAATATCCGGCTGAGGCCCGGCATCCGTTCCAGCAATCCGGCGAATCGCCGATCCTAGAGTTACACTATCGAAACTGGGACTGAGGCAGGTTAGAAACCCACCGAATTCAGGCTGTCGCAACGTGCGTAGCGAACTCGGTGCAGCGGAGGTCTCGACACCCACTACCGCACGGCTGACTCAATCGTACGCCAATATTCGACGCGTGCTTATGCCGGGCATTGTTAGATCCAACGATACGGCTCATGGGGGTTAATCGATCATGCAAGGCACAATCAGGCAACGCAACCCAGGCTCCTGGGAAATACAGGTGTACCTGGGCCGCGACTCCAATGGGAAACGAATACGCAGAACTGAGACGGTACGCGGCAAGAAGTCTGATGCCCAGCATAGGCTTCGGGAAATTCTATCCGATCTGGACCGCGGCATCGCTCCTGCCAGGAACCATTACAAGGTTGGCGAGTGGATGGACAAGTGGATGGCCGAAGTCATAATCCCCAACAAACGCCAGAAAACCATTGACCGTTACGAATGTGACATCCGCCTTCACATCAAGCCCACCTTGAGCCATGTCGACCTCACGAAACTATCGCCGGTGCAGGTGCAACATTTGGAGTCCAAGCTTCTTCAGGAAGGTAAGGCTCCGAAAGGGGTGCAGGGGGTGCACAACGTATTAGCCCGAATCCACCGAAGGGATGCGGTTCTAGCGTTGACGTGAGGGATGATGGGTAAGAAAGGCGAACGAGCCCGGCCCGATCGCCAATAGATGTGGTTCAGGGCGGTCGGTGGCGGCCACGCCAGTGGCAAGGTACTGGCCCGCAGTGGCGGCGGCAGGCGAAAACGGCCAGGCGGCATGCCGGAAGTGGCGCTGGCGGGCTGGGCTGGCATGGGTCGGCGGGACAGCCCATGGGTTGTCCGGCGGACGGGTTGGGCGCCGACGGCGCGTCGTCAGGCTGGTAGGGGAACGGCGCGCACTCGGGCCCAGGCGTGAGTGAACTGGTTTTCCCAGGGCCAGCGCTGGGGAAGATGCCGAGTGCGGCGGCGCGCCGAGCGAGTGCGCCGTCCGGCGATGGAGAAGAACCGCCGTCGGAGGGTCTTGGTGGTCACCAGTTGCTCGCCCAGACCGATGCGCGCAGCCCAGTGGGCCAGGTTTGTGGGCCATCACCTGGACCGCCAGCCAGGCCGTAGATTGCAAGGGGACTTTGGCGGCGAAACGCCCTGAGGGGAGATGGTTCAGTCCCCACGCCGTACTTGAGGTCGCGGATGGCGTTCTCGATCTCGGCGTGGCGGCGATGATCGCCTCCAGTTCCAGAGTGCCTCCAGTTCCAGAGTGCCTCCGTCCCGGTCGGTGATGAAGCCGTGATAGCTGTAGTCGACCAAGAGGGCCAGTTGAGAACCGGGCGTGGGCGTCACTCTGCGGACGATGCGCCGCACCGGCGCGGCGTCGGGCGCACTCTCGAAGGGGATGTAGGTAGTCTCGGCCACGTCGGCAGCACCGTCCATCCAGTAGGGTAGGGGCGTCCAGTCCCCCTCAGGCATGGCCTCGATCTGGTTGTGCAGGCTCTGGTGTTGGCGGATGGTGATGGAGAAGCGGGCATCCAGCTGGCGGCAGGTGGACACCATGGCGTGGTTATAGAAGCCGCTATCGGCCCGCACGCGTGAGTGGCCCACTGGCCCCAGCGTAGCGTACCCGTC